GGCTATTTTTTGGTTGCAGCCATCATTGTTGTTTGACGGCCCGGGCTGGATTCGAACCCTCCACCTTAGGTGTATATGGCTGGTACCTTAGCCACTTGAGCCACAGGCGCCAAGCCAAAATCAGATACTTTTAAATTAGAAATTGCCACTATGATCAAAAAGATAAATAGTGAGTGTTAACAAGGATGTAGATAAATTTGAACCCTCATATGAAGCTGGTGGACTACAAAATGGAGCAGCGACTTTGGAGAACAGTCTGGCAGTTCCTCAAAAGGTTAAACATAGAGCTTACATAGGACCCAATAATTCTACACCTAGGTATATATATTCAAGAGAAATGAAAACTTATGTACATATAAAAATTTGTCTACTGGGTGCACTCATAACTCAGTGGCTGAGGGGCCAGCTACATGCACAGGGGCTGGTAGGTTCGAACCTGGTCCGGGCCTGCTAAACAAACAAAAAATAGCCAAGCACTGTGGCTGGCGCCTGTAGTCCCAGCTACTAGGGAGGCTGAGGCAAGAGAATCACTTGAGCTCAAGAATTTGAGGTTGCTGTGAACTATGATGCCATGACACTCTACAGAGGGCGACAAAGTGAAACTCTGTCTCAATAAAAAAAAAATAAATAAAAATACTTATATACTAATGTTCATAGCAGGTATTCATAAAGACCAAAAAGTGGAAACAGCCCAAATGCCCACCAACTGATGAACAAAATGTGTTATATCCATAGAATGGAGTATTATCCAACAACAGAAAGAAGTTCTGATAGGGCTATTATATAGACAACCCAGAAAACATCATGCTAAGTGAGAAAAGCCAGTCACAAAAGACTGTATATTGTATGGTTCAACATCCAGAACTATAGACACAGAAAATAGATTAGTGGCCATGTAGGGCTGGGGAAAGGATGGTAAGAGGTGTTCCTGCTGAAAGGGTTTGTTTGGGGGTGAGAAAAATGCTTTAAACTTGATTTTGGTAATCATTGCACAACTGTGACCGTATTAGATAAATGCCTTGTATACTTAAGGCACGTGTGAATCATGGATCAGTAAAGCTGCTACCAAGAAAAAGAAACTGTCTTTTATATAATTCAGACATTTGGGACAGTACACATTTCAGAATGTGCAACCAAAGATTACTTTGTCAATGAGTCGCATACATCATCAGAGAATAAAATTAGTTTGACAGAAAAAATAATATTTTACCAGCATCTGGGAAGTGCTTACTTGGTGTTCTGCCTCGGTCTTAGACAATTCCTCAATCCTCTTTTCCAGTCTATCTATATCCACAACGCTCTTAATGTTCTAACATAAAAGAAGAGAGTGTTTTTATATTTAGCATCAAGAAAAATGAAAGAGCATCATGATCAAAATTTCTTTAAGGAAGTAATATTTTCACTATTAACGTTTTAAACTAAGGGACAAAACTTTAGACCATTGTTCTACCAGTGCGCCATGAGGGAATCTTAGGTGTGTAGTGAAAATTTTTTAAAATCATCAATTAAATTATTCTTGAAAGCAGTTCGAAGCACAGTAAACATATTCATTTTTTTACTCTTGTTTTGATCAACATAACTTAAGTGTGCCTCTGAAGTTTAACTACAGGTTCACGTGTGCCGTAAGATAAAGAAGGTTGAAAAAAACAGCTCTAGACTTTGGGCAGGAATGACACAACCGTCCGGGAGTCCTTTCAGCCCTGCCTTCTGCACCTTCATTCTACCTCCGCTACTCACTCTCATAGTCGTAAGTTCAAACTTGTTATTACCAGTAACTGTGACCCCACCATTATCTTAACTGTTGTAAGCATCTCGTTCCTCAACCACCACCTCTTATCTTTCCAGATGACTTCCTCTACCCCCAACAAACCTTCAGTCCCCACTGGAACCTGCCATCCATTGATCTCACCACCTTTTCATTATCCTTCAACCTTCCCGTGAACTCAATCCCCTCTTTACTCAGCTTAGATGCTTCCGTAGTCAGTCCTGATAACCACCCCCGTCCGCACACCTCAATTCCCTTACCTAACCCTGCTGCTTAGTATTTCCTTAAATTTGCCTGCCACCCCACTCCATGCCAGCACCTTTTCAGATAAGTATGGTTAAAGAAAAAAGGGACAGGTGACACATGAAATTCATGTCCATTGACCTCAAGGTTTATTGGTGATTACATCACATAATCCTGGTATATTCACAGTGCCATTTTCCTAAATCATATACTCACTTCCAAAGGTCAAATGTAGCTGACTACTTTTTTTTTTTTATTAAATCATAGCTGTGTGCGTTAATGCAATCATGGGGTACAGTATGCTGGTTTTATATACAATTGGAAATATTTTCATCAAACTTATTAACATAGCCTTCACGGCATTTTCTTAGTTATTGTGTTAAGACAA